CTGGTTAATAATATCATAAAATGTATTAGAACCACCATTTAATGTTATATTTGATACAAATTAATATTGCTGCCCCAAACGCTCTGCGCATTGCCACTGAATAATAGATTTACTTAAAATTACATCCCTGGTCCTTGTTCCTTCTGTATCGCATCGTGGTGAATTCACATTTCTCAGAAATTTGACAACAAAACAAAACGAAGGGAGTATTTTATTTACTAATTTTTCCGATTTCTATTGTTTAATGTAAATGTATGTCTATTTAGGATATGTTGAGCCAACAAAGAAGGCGCATTTGGAAAATGCCTATAAGCAGGCTGGAATTTGGAAAAGTAAGTGCCTGGTTGCAGCATATCTATGTATTAAAAAGTATTTAATTAAATTGTTTAATAGAAATGTTATAAATCGAGCGGCTCATTTACGATGTGCTCCAAATATTTGGCGAACTTTTTTCGCCTTTTCAACGTGCTAAGTAACAAGGAAAGGGCAGACAATCTTCCAGGAAGCTGCCTCCTGTCCCCGAGTCGAAGCAGAAGTTCAGCAAGAAGCAGGTCAGCAAACTGCTACCCTGATCAAACGTAAACTAAAGCGCTCTGCTGTGATTGCACTCTGCAAACGTGAAAACTTCGTGCATGCTGAGAAATATCAAACAAGAAAACTCGGTGATGGACGCCGTGGGATGAAGTTGCGCTGTGTGGCAAAGAAATGCGGCCAATTCTACGGGCCTGAAAAATCCAAATTGGCTTTTGTGATCCGTATCCGCGGTATCAACAAAGTTGCACCAAAAATGCGTAAAGTGAAGTGAATTGATGTACAAACGTGGAATTGTCAAGCACAACCATCAACGTGTCCAATCTTGACAGCTTTGTGATCGAACGCAAATTTCGCAAAGCGCACGAAATTCAGTGCGTGATTATTTGGCGCACGAAATATTTACTGTTGGAACCGACTTCAAGAAAGCCTCCAACTTCCTGTTGCTATTCAAGCTCAACACATCAACCAGGCTGGCGCAAGAAGGCTAATCACTACGTTGAGGTTGGTGATTTCGGTAGCCGTGAGGATAAGATAACAAATTGCTGCGCTTGATGGCTTAAAGAAATTGTTGTTTTGTATTTAAGGCGACAATATAATTTGGCACATCTTCAAAAGCGCCCAAGCAAAAAAAGAAAATGCAAAATTCCTGAAGTTGGCTTTACACGGGTCGATTTCTGTCGTTAAAATTGACTGAATATCGACTAGCCAAAACGCTTACATTTTACGGTTGAATTGCAATTTACACGGGTAGATTTTGGCTAAAAGACATCTAAGGCAGCTTAAATAACGTTCAAATTAGCATCATCTTTGAGATGGAAAATACCAATAACCATTTCATAATTTCGAAAATTATTCCATTTATATTTGTTCTTGCATTTTCCACACCACCTGTGAGGTATGCTTTTAGGCGCGTTACCGATTTTTTTTAAGGTGCTCGGTTCCCCAGGAGGCCTATTTTCACCTCTACAACTTAACTTAAAAGTAATTAAAACTAAAGCATGCAATATATAAAGAAAATTAAAAACTCTTACATCTAGTAAACTTAAAAAATTGCACAAATTAAATTCATTTTTCTTTATAAAATAAAATTAAATATCACAATTCAGTTGAAGTGTATACATATGTACATATTTACAAAATGTGGTCTGTATGCACCCACAGTAAGTTTCCATAAAACCTAGCCTAAAATCAGAACTGAAAAAAACCGAGCAAATGTGGTCGGAAACTACTAGCTTTAAAAGCATAATGTGGAAAATGTTTGAAGAGCTGCGAAACTGTATTGCAATAACACAAATAACAGTGCATAAATTGAAAAAATTGTTTTTGTTTTGCTTTATTATTTTTGGGAATATTGGTTCAGATGGACTTCGCGATAAAGCCGATTATTAAGTATACGAAATAACTTAAGGCATGAGAAAGGCGAAATTCCGGGTAAAATATAGAGAAATTCTATTGAAATTCATCTGTGGGAAATAAATAAAAATTTTGTGTGTTTAAACTGCGGTGAACACGCCTCCTTATTGAAAATTTTTAAGGAAAAATATGTTCTTATTCTAATGGAAAGATGTATGAACACATTAGGTTGAGAATTACTACAACAATAAAAGGGTTCTATGTCATGCATTTTGTCAAACAAAGCTTTAGAAAAACCTATCAAATGGCAACAGGCATCGAAATTTTCGTTTAATGATTTATCAAGTTTTGCAAGAAACTCTATGAATCCAGAAGGAGCTTTTACTAAATTTGATCTATCATACTCCTTCTCTTTAGTAAAGGTAAACGCGTCTTCCGGAATTTCACCTTCCTCAAACCGTGGTAGGGGCTCCAAACAGTTATGTAATTTAAAATATTCGTAGTAAATGTACCCGCAAAAATACGCAAAAGAATTCCTTTGAAGAAAATTGCTTTCAACTACATCGACATCAATAATGCTTCTTATATCTTGATACGCTTGGGGTCTAGGCAAGCTTTGAAAAGTTTGCCAAGAAGTATCTTGAACCAGAGGATCAGTACATACTCTTTCGAGAGTGCTAAACGAAAAAAACTCCCACTCAGCGCTAGGCAAAGGTTCACAATTTCCACTTGTGACAAAGTTTACATGTCTGAGGCCCCAGGATTGCCTGAAAAGATCGGAGAACATGGACGGAGTTGTTCTCGGATTTAATCCTCCCCCCCTTCTAATCTGCCCAAAATAACGTTCGATTTCGTCCTGGCAAAGTCTTCTGGTTAGTATATGTTCGAAACCTTCCTCTGACAAAGTACGCCACAATCGTCTCAAGCTTTGAATGTTGATAAGCCAACCTTTGATAACGGAAAAAGTGTTCGTGATATCTCGTCCGACAATGTCATGAACAACTATTGAATAAAGGTTTCTTTGGGCTTCGAGCAAAAATTATAGTTGGTCTGTGGTTCCTGAATAAGGTTGGCCATGTTTTCTTAGGGCCCCAATCGCTTTAGTATTAAAGATATTAAAGAGTTGGTCGAAAAAAAGAGCGAATTCGGCAGTATTTATGAAGCTTGCAGATTGAGAAGTATTAAGGTTTCCGGTACTATATAAAGATAGCATTCCACTAGCAACCGTATTGCTCAGCACTTGAGCAGCTAGACGAACACTCATTTTTTCAAAAGATGTGGGACTAAGATGTGCCGTTGTCAATTTAGGCGCACATCGTATACCGCGATGGGAATCCTGTTGATGAAAATGCAGAATGTCTGTCCATTTGACAGGATGTCCGCGAAAACTAACATTGTTTTTTTTACTTTGAATACAGTTTCGTGTGTTCTTCAGAAGATGAGGAGAATCGTAGAAAAATACAATTTCTTCACCGTTAACTTCAAAATACGACCTATTTTCTGTAATTCCTACGATACGGGCGAAGTTAACGAAATTGGNACGAATTCGGCAGATTGAGAAGTATTAAGGTTTCCGGTACTATATAAAGATAGCATTGCACTAGCAACCGTATTGCTCAGCACTTGAGCAGCTAGACGAACACTCATTTTTTCAAAAGATGTGGGACTAAGATGTGCCGTTGTCAATTTAGGCGCACATCGTATACCGCGATGGGAATCCTGTTGATGAAAATGCAGAATGTCTGTCCATTTGACAGGATGTCCGCGAAAACTAACATTGTTTTTTTTACTTTGAATACAGTTTCGTGTGTTCTTCAGAAGATGAGGAGAATCGTAGAAAAATACAANAGGATAAATAGATAAATATACAAGCTCAACGCGCTAATTTAGGTATACTTGTATGTATANGAGTACTTGAGCAGCTAGACGAACACTCATTTTTTCAAAAGACGTGGGACTATGATGTGCCGTTGTCAATTTAGGCGCACATCGTATACCGCGATGGGAATCCTGTTGATGAAAATGCAGAATGTCTGTCCATTTGACAGGATGTCAGGATAAATAGATAAATATACAAGCTCAACGCGCTAATTTAGGTATACTTGTATGTATATACCTGTTGCTCGTCTGGCATATACTCCAACTGCGAAAATAATGACAATTATATGACAAGTTACTTTCGGTAACTCACGAATGAAGTTTGGAATGCAATTTCTCAAAAACACGACTACAGATTTTCTCCAAAGTGTCGGAGAATGCTATGTACTAGTTCATGAAATTCTTAAATAATCTTATTTTTTTTAGTTTAGTGTCAACCATTTATGAGTTTAATAAAATTTTGTCGTATACGACATTTGTCAAAAAATTTGCAGTCAGTTTTAATGTTATACGTTAAAATGTGATACAAATTTTTATAAATTAACCATACTTTTTACTAATCAGCCTAATCGTGAGTTTCGCCCGAACAAAATTTCGCCAACAATTTTTTCATCCACCAGTGGTGAATACACGCAAACGAAAAGTGAAAAAGTGACCCTGTTCTAGAAAATGAAACTCATGACAAAGCTGATATGTCCGAAACTAAAGAAGAACAGATAACTCTATTTGAAAGATCTTGATTAGTTTAGTACGACAGCAATACTAACGCACTTTGTACCAAATATCCGAAAACATTTTGGTTAATTACTCGGAAACTGAAGAAGATATCCAAAAACCACAAATTGTCAAAATGACGCTTCCGGCAATTTTCCATCCAAGCGACGATATTTGAATAGGTTTGTATAGTTACCAATAGTCAGTACTAATTTGTACTGGAACCAGCAAATTTTTACTAGAAAAGTGTATGATAACTAATGCGACCAACCGTACTTCTTTTGGAAGTACAGCACTTCTTTTTTCCCTCTTGTACTTCGTACTTCGAAGTACAGTCAATTGTACTTTTTTGCGATATTTTGTACTTCGGGAGGGAGATTCTGTAACCAGTTAGCGACAATTTTCGGATCGCTATCGCACTTTTTGACGCATGATATAAATGTTTTTGCGTTAAAAAGTACGATAGCGATTCGAAAATCGTCGCTAACTGGTTACAGAATCTCCCCCCAGGTCCTGTTCTTCTCCGTTCTTCTGGACATTCGTCACATGGCCGGGCGATAAATTCGTTTAAACCATTATAGTCGCCGGGGCCTCATATCTGCGCAGCTGTAAAGGGCTCAGAAGGTGTCGTGCACTTGGTTGGATCCATGCATGAGGACCGGGTACATCCCCAAGCCTTGGAGGGTAGTCAGTGTTGCGTTCATCCCGAAGGCCGGAAATGGTTATCATGTTTCTTCAATCAGTCACTGTCTTTCAAGAGCTCAATATGCTTATTGCAAGAAAAGGTCGGTAAATACCGCCCTGGACACATTGGTAAAGTCGTCAGAGGAATCCTTCACGCATGAAGATTATGCAGTAGGAGCCTCTTTGATATCAATGGAGCCTTCAACAATGTCNTTCTTGATATCAATGGAGCCTTCAACAATCTCACTCCAGAGGCAATAGTCAAGTATATTCATAATCTGGGGGTTGAGACCAACCTACTAAGCTTACTTCGTGACAGAACTGTCGCGGCGGAGTGAACCAGGTAACTAGGTGCACTCAGAAAAAGGTTTAGTTATAATAACCAAGATTTGGTTATAGTGACAAAGTGGCATAGTTGGATATGGCGAAATAAATATCTAGTTCACGAAAGTCTGCAATTTACTTGAGCCTTCTAGTTGAGACAAATGTATATTTGTTAATAATTACAAAACGACTACCTTGAGTGGACAATATTGTTAGTTGCATAAAATCATTGTTGAGCAAATATAAACAATGCTTTGGTTGATACAAGTTTTCAATTAATTTTA